GATACAGAAACACGGCCCGGAGATACAGAAACACGGCCCGGAGATACAGAAACACAGCCCGGAGATACAGAAACACGGCCCGGAGATATAGAAACACGGCCCGGAGCCATAGAAACACGGCCCGGAGATATAGAAACACGGCCCGGAGATACAGAAACACGGCCCGGAGATACAGAAACACGGCCTGGAGATATAGAAACACGGCCCGGAGATACAGAAACACGGCCCGGAGATATAGAAACACCGCCTGGAGATACACCCGGAGATAGAGAAACACCGCCTGGAGATACAGAAACTGACAGGGGCTCGAGTGTAGCCCGGGAGCACCACACTCCGGCCACACCTCCCCTAGCTGTCTCCAATCAAAACACCACGTGGTGCTGGAGTCTGACAAGGACAGTCCACGGCTCCTGTGCACGGCACCGCGCAGTCACTCGAGCAACGTCCTGGGCCGTGCCACCAGCCCTGGGCAGGCACCTCCTCACTCCAGCCCTTCAGTGGAAGACATCGGGCCCCAAATGGAGCACGGCCCCAGGACATAAGGCAGACGCAAGGCTCAGCAACGAGCAGGCCCAGCCCACTGGTCCTGAAGGGGCTCAGTGCCCAAGCGAGGCGCGGACAGAGGCGGGGAAGCCACCGCTCAGAGCCTCGGGAAGGGTTTCCGCCTCAGATGTCTGGCTGCCAAGACGCTGGCTGGCAAGTTATCGCTCAAGAAGCCGCAGGGCAGAGGGCGCTGCTGCAGCCACGCAGAGACCCAGAGGATGTGGGGAAGGTCTGGGGGGGGCAGAAGGCCCCGGCACTCGGCAGCACCTGCCTGCCGTGAGGGTGTGTCCCGGGTGGCAGAAGGACCTGGGTCCCTGGAGGAGGGAACAGGAGACCCCTGGTCCCCAGGGGTCAGGGGTTCTGCTGTGGGGTCAGTGCTGGACACTGAGACAGCAGGCTCTGCTCAGAGGACACAGACATGAAGATGAGGTGCCCAGGGCCCCGGGGTGGAATGTGAGGCAGAAACTACTGAGTTCAGCTTTCGGCACATTCTTTCCCAAAACCAGAGCCTTGTTCTTGCGGGGATGGGAAAGGGGCCCCAAGAAGGCAGCAGAGTCAACTACAGAAGACAGCAATGGGCGTGCGGTGAGGAGGCGGACACGGGACACGGGACACGAGGCCTCCAGTCGGCCGTGTGCTGTGTGCCTCCGACCCTGAGCCCCTCCCCAGATCAAGAAGCCCCTGGTGGAGCCTGGCAGGAGGAGGGCAGCGGAGTCCGCACCTTGTTGGCCTGGATCAGGTGAAAGTTCTTTCCGTGCACGCGGAAGCCATGCTCAAAGTTCCTGCACTCCTCTTCACTCCAAGCACAGAGCCCATCTGCAAAAACGGCCGGGGAGACGGGTCAGCAGTGCCCAGGGTGGGGCCGCAGCGGCAGAAGGGCCCAGGCCACTGCTCACCTCGGATCACCTTCACGTTGAACCGCAGCCTTCGCAGGGCCTCCTCCACGTTGAAGTTGCATTTCACCAACTCGTACAGCGCCTGGGGAGAGACGTGGTGGTTCCTCCCATGAGCACAGCCCAGGAGCCGACAGCAAGAACTGTCTGTACCATCCAGGGAGTGGCATCAAGGGCCGTCCACACCACCCTCCCGAGCACTGTCAGGGCCGCCGACACCTCTATCCAGGGAGTGACATCAGGGGTGTCTACACCCCCCGCAGAGACACCCGGAGGCGTCTACACCTCCTCCCCGATACGTGGTTTTAACTGGTCCCCTCCCAACCTGAGTAGCTCTTCCAGTGCCCAGGCCTCCGCACACCTGACCCCTGCCCTCCCTTCTGCCCTGCCTGGCCCCCGGAGGCACTGGGGTGTGAGCGCCGGCCCACGCCGCTGCAGCCCTCAGCGCCTGTCCCCGGCACGGCAGCCCCCACCTGCTCACTGTCTTTCACGGCTTCTCCCTCCGGGAGCTGGGGCCCAGCCATCTCCTGCCAACGCCGCTTCACCGCCCTGTACAGGAACTCCTCCACCTCCCTCTCGGGGAGGACGCTGGGGTCCCAGAGCAGCTGGTCTTCATTCTCGTAGACTGCATAAGCAGAGGGCAAAGGTCACGCTGCAGGAACGCAATCTGCACCCACACAGGCCAGGACACGCGGAGCCGCCAGCTCAGCCCCTGTGACAGGGAGGAGGCAGCGTCCCGGCCTCCCTTTCCCAAGCCGCGGCCGCCATCGCTGTGCTCCTCCTGGGCTGGGCGCGGCTGTGCTCGTGGGTCCAGAGCAGGCTCCGGGCGCCGCACACGCCCGAGTCCCGCGACCGCGTGCAGGGAGCCGTGAGCGCCAGCAGGGGGCGCGCGGTCCAGCCCCGGGCTCAGAGGAAGCCGCGGGCGCCTAGGCTGGGGCGGGGGAATCCGAGCGAGGGCTCCGCAGACGCGTTGTGAGCAGCGAGCCCAGGGAGGTGAGGCTGGCTTCGGGCTGCACCGCCACACCAGCCACCGAAACGCAGAGGCCTGAGGGAGCGGCCGGGAGACTGAGACTCGGGTCCCATGGACAAGCGGCGGCCGCCACAGACACTGCCGCGCTCTAACCCTGGGACCGCAGGAGCCATGGCCAGAAGCTGCATCACCGCTGGGGAGACGTCCCGCCCCAGCAGCTGGTGCCGGTGGCAGATGTGCCCACAGAGGGGAGGAAAAGTCCACGACCTCAGATGCAATTGGCTTTCAGCAAAGGGAGGGACGCAGCCTCCAGCTGAGGGGAGGGACGTGACTGGGGACAAAGCAGGGAGAGCTCAGGGCCAGGTCTGGCTCGAGTGCCAGCACCTCTCGATTATCCAGGAAAGAGACACAGGAACCCAAGCAAAGCAAACCAACAAGTAAAAAACAAACAAAGTCAGCGCACAGGAAGAAAAGTGAAAATCGCACTGGGGAAAAGAGCTCCACACGGGAGAGTCTCCACGGCCGGGAGCTGACGCGGTAACGAGCTCCAGGTCGCTGCTGTGCCCCACCAAGCGGGGCCTCTGCTGGTGCCCACGGCCCCCATGAGGACAACGGGCAGACACCACAGCCACCCTTCTCCGTCTCCACAAACACCTGAGCCCCGTGTGGACCGAGGTGGTCTCCAAGAAAAGAGCAGACCGTCTCTCACGGCCTACCTCATCACCCACCCTCACGTGAAGGGTGAAACACGGGAGAAAAACATTAACCGGATGTGAGGACTCAGGCCTGATCCCAGCACTTTGGGAGGCTGAAGTGGGAGGATCCGTTGAGGCCAGAGTTTGAGACCAGCCCACTCCACCTCTACAAAAAATTTCAGAAGTAGCCAGGCACGGTGGCACATCTGTAGTCCCAGCTAAGGTGGGATGAGGCTAAGGTGAGGCTGAGCCCAGGAGTCGAGGCTGCAATGAGCCATGATTGCGCCACTGCACTTCAGCCTCGGCAACAGAGCAAGACCCTGTCTCAGAATAAAACAAGAAAACGAGGCCGGGCGCGGTGGCTCACGCCTGTAATCCCAGCACTCTGGGAGGCTGAGGCGGGCGATCACCTGAGGTCAGGAGTTCGAGACCAGCCTGGCAAACATGACGAAACCCCATCTCTACTAAAAATACAAAAATTTGCCGGGCGTGGTGGTGGGCACCTATAAATTAGTTACTCAGGAGGCTGAGGCAGGAGAACTGCTTGAACCTGGGAGGCGGACGTTACAGTGAGCCAAGATCGTGCCACTGCACTCCAGCCTGGGCGACAAGAGCGAGACTCCATCTCAAACAAACAAAACAAGAAAACATCAGACAACAAAACAGGTCTACACACAGCTGACGTTAACAGTCAGCAGACGAAGACTTCAGTCTAACTAGGATTAACACGTTAAGTAAATGGACAAAAACCCGGAGGGTCTCAGCAGAAACTTTAAATTTATAGAACAGAATCTCAAGCACCTTCCAGGATTGGAAAATACAATACCCGAACGGACCCACCGAACAGCTTTTTCACCAGCAGCCTGAACACAGCACAAAGCAGAATTAGTGGAATCAAAAGGAAACCAATGTTTAGAAGACCAAAACGAAAGTCTAAAAAGAAAGAACACAGTTTAGGATAAGACAGTTAAGCAACCTCTAAGATACGTGTAAGTGAGTCACAGAAAAAGGAAAGAATGAGGCAGCACAAAATCTGAAGAGATAATAGCCAACAATTCTTCAAAACTGATGACTGATACCAACCCACAGAGCCAGGAAACTCAGGATAAACACAAGCACACACAAAGATGTGTGCACGACTGATGCCACCACACAGAGCCAGGAAACTCAGGATAAACACAAGCACACACAAAGATGTGTGCACGACTGATGCCAACACACAGAACCAAGAAACTCAGGATAAACACAAGCACACACAAAGATGTGTGCACAGGCACATCAGCGTCAAACTGGTAAAAAATAAAATAAAATAAAAGGAAGGGAAAGGAAACAAAATTTAGCAGAGAAAAAGGGCACGATGACTTCAAAGGAAACAGTAAGACGGTCCTCTGACTTAACAGAAACGACGACAGCCAAAAAGCAATGGAATGAAACTGTTCAAGTCTTGAAAGAAAAACACCCTGCAAACCTAGAAAAATATGCCCGTGAAAATATTCTTTAAAGAATGAAAACAGGCCGGGCGCGGTGGCTCAAGCCTGTAATCCCAGCACTTTGGGAGGCCGAGACGGGCGGATCACGGTCAAGGAAGATTCGAGACCATCTGGCTAGCACAGTGAAACACCCGTCTCTACTAAAAAATACAAAAAATTAGCCGCGCGAGGTGGCGGGCCGCCTGTAGTCCCAGCTACTCACGGGAGGCTGAGGCAGGGAATGGCGGGAACCCGGAGGCGGAGCTTGCAGTGAGCTGCGATCCGGCCACTGCACTCCAGCCGGGGCGACAGAGCGAGCCCGTCTCAAAAAAAAAAAAAAAAAAAAAAGAATGAAAACAAAAATCCACTTTCAGACACAGAAATGCGGAAAGAAAGCACAAGGGCTATTACCAAGGAAGTTGTCTGCGCTGAAGGAAACGATCCCAAACGGAAACTGGAGGAAATATGTGGATAAATACAAAGAATGTTCACTGTTCAAAACAACAATGTTATAATCTTGTGACATGTAGTTGGTTTTTTTTTGTTTTTTTTTTTTTTTTGGAGACGGAGTCTTGCTCTGTTGCCCAGGCTGGAGTGCAGTGGCGCGATCTCGGCTCACTGCAACCTCCGTCTCCCAGGTTCACGCCATTCTCCTGCCTTAGCCTCCTGAGTAGCTGGGACTACAGGCGCCGCCACCACGACCGGCTAATTTTTGTATTTTTAGTAGAGACAGGGTTTCACCATGTTGGCCAGGATGGTCTCGATCTCCTGACCTCAGGCAGTCTGCCCACCTCGGCCTCCCAAAGGGTTGGGATTACAGGTGTGAGCCACCACGCCTGGCCGATATGTAGAATTAATAATAGCACAAAAGTCAGGGGACAGGTAAACTGAGTTAAACTGTTTCGTGCATTGTAGAGGAAATAGAATGTACTTATTTAAAGCTGTGAGACCCGGTGTGGTGGCTCATGCCTGTAATGTCAGCACTTTGGGAGGCTAAGGTCACTGGAGGTCAGGAGTTCAAGATCAGCATGGCCAACACGGTGAAACCTCATCTCTACTAAAAATACAAAAATTAGCTGGGGATAGTGGTATGTGCCTGTAGTCCCAGATACTTGGGAGGCTGAGGCAGGAGAATCGCTTGAGCCCAGGAGGCGAAGGTTGCAGTGAGTCGAGACCACACGACTGCACTCCAGCCTGGGCGACAGAGCAAGACTCCACCTCAAAAAAAAAGTAGACTGTGATAAGTCAATAATTCATATTGTAACCTCTAGGATAAGCACTAAAACTAAAACTTGTAAGCTGAAACAGGAGGACAAAATAAAGCTATTTAATCCAAAAGAAGATATAAAAAAATTAAGAAACAAAGAACAGGCCAGGTGCAGTGGCTCACGCATGTAATCCCAGCACATTGGGAGGCCGAGGTGGGCAGGTCACTTGAGGTCTAGAGATTGAGACCAGCCTGGCCAACATGGTGAAACACCATCGCTACTAAAAATACAAAAATTAGCTGGGCATGGTGGCGGGCACCTGTTACCGCAGCTACTTGGGAGGCTGAGGTGGAAGAATTGCTTGAACCAGGGAGGTGGAGGCTGCAGTGAGTGGAGATTACGCCACTGCACTCCAGAGACTCCGCCTCAAAAACAAGATCTAAACATGTGCCATTTACAGAAAATACACTTCAAATATAGGAATCTAGAATGGTAAAACGAATGGGAAAAAACCACGCAAACACTAAACCAACAAAAAGCTGCCGTGGTCACACTGAGGGCAGATAAAGCACTTACTTTCGGTAAGAAGTATCACTACAGAGACATGTCACAATCGTAAAAGAAACAATTCGACACGAAGACAAAGCAATCTTAATGTGTGTATGCACCTAATAACAAAGCTGCGAAGTGAAGTAACAATGGACAGAATTAAAAAGAGGAAACAGACGATCCACAATCAGAGGTCACTAACAATCTTTCCGTAAATAGAACAGGCAGCCAAAAAAACTAAGTGAGAATACAGACGATGTGAACAACAATTACCCAACGGATCCATGGGAAATACGCGGAAACCTGCACCCAACAACTGCACAACGCACATTCCTTTCAGACACATAAAACATTTTCCAAGATAGATCAAATACTGGTCACAAAGCAAGGTGTAATCAATTTCAAAGACCTGAAATCACAGAGTATGTTTTCTGACCACAGTGCAATTCAATTAAAAATCAGTAAAAGAGCGGGGCGCAGTGGCTCACGCCTGTAATCCCAGCACTTTGGGAGGCCGAGGTGGGTGGATCACCTGAGGTCTGGAGTTCGAGACCAGGCTGGCCAACATAGTGAAACCCCATCTCTACTAAAAATACAAAAATTAGCCGGGCGCGGTGGCAGGTGCCTGTAATTCCAGCTACTCAGGAGGCTGTGGCGGGAAAATCGCTTGAATCCGGGAGGCAGAGTTTCCAGTGAGTCAAAATTGCACCACTGCACTCCAGCCTGGCAACAGA